TAAAATTGGTTTGGTGGGTTTTAACACCTTTAGTTTTCTTCAGAAAGTCAAAATTCGGCGTTCGGAGCTCAATTTTGAGACCAAAAACTCAATTTTTGTGTTCTGAAACCTGAAACTAACAAAAACTTACCATTTAAGACCAGGTTTTTGACTTATGGTATCCATATTTGGGTTTGACTAGTTCAACTTTTGCTGTTTTACCCGAATCCGTTTACAGAAACTTAACATTTTGACCGGAAACTATACTTATTTTAACTGAAACGTTTGACCCTATTACTGAAACCTAGACTGAAACCAAAAATTTTGGCTGGTGAAAATCAATTTTTTAGTGCTTAGGCTATCATATGAAAACTAGTTTATCAATATAAAGTGGATGTGTCAGTGTTTTAGACTTAGTTTTTGTTGTGAAACCTGATATTTTTGTGCTGAAACTAAAACTTGGTGTTTGGTGTTATGTGGTTAACGTTTAAGATTGGTTTTAGTGCGTACTCTTATTGTTTAAATGGTGTATATTTAAACTATGTCATACAAAACCAATGATTTATTAAAAAACACCCAAATCCGTTCCTTCCTTTATGGTTTTTGTTTTTTTCTTCCTTAGTTTCAGTAATTGGTAGCTTTACTGATGGATGATTTAGGTTTAAGTTATGTTAAGGTGGATAGAATTAAAATTAGTTTAAGAAAAAATGAGGATAAGCCTCGAGAAATGATGAAGGATTAGAATAAATAGCAACAAGCGTGGATGGTTTGAGATAATGTGATGAAGGATTCAATTTATCATACAATTTAGGGTACTCTCAGATTGTACATATGACCACTTAACCCCCTGGAAAAAATAAATGAAGGTATTCAATAAGTTTTTGAGCACTTTAGTTTAATACAGAATTTCGTTCGTTTTAGTGATGATAACTTTAAACTGAAGTTTCGGCATACATTTAGTGGATTACTGGACAAAACGGGTATATCTCACTAGCGGACTTAGGCAGAGAACGATTCTTTCAGAAATTTTATATATTATTATAATACTAGATAATAGTTAAGTTCATGAGCTAATGTCAGTTAGAAAGCCGTATAATAGACCTCGAGATGGAGGAATATAGTGGGCGACTGCTAGCGCAGGGGATACTTATCGCAAGAACCCTACTAGGAATATCTCTCAAGTAGAAGACAATGAAATTGTGTTTCTATCGAAAGATAGCCTTTGTCTGTGGCTTTTTGAGGTTGGGAACTAATCTGATAAATACTCACAGATCCTAATATTAATATATTTTTTTGAATTTTGAAAGCTGTTTCGAGTTTGTTGGAAAAAGAATTTCTTAAGGAGTAGTTCTCTGCTGCGGTCGCACCAGTTTTACTAAGCGCTTATTGCTGGTTGAATGCTTAGTAATTTTATTCTAAGTTATAAGTCTCACCTTAGATCGTCAAGTTGTCTTGACAAAAGTTAGTGTAGAAACAATAGTTAGAAAAGGTATGAATTAATTATTTGGTTAAATACAAAGCACTGGGTTATAAGATCATATAAACGAATCGAACAGCTTAGAGAAATATACCTGTGAGGGGAGGTTAAGCTAATCTTATTTTGTTCATCGATATTTTATCTTCTTACTAAGGTCGATGGCTGATTAATATGAATGGGTCGCACTTGGTTGTGTCCACTTCGGCACTTCTGGTTTGGTCGTCAGTATCGTCTTTGCCGTAGTCCTTTGGGTACTTGTTGTCCAGACTTCCTCAGGTGTGGGTCTCTCGAGTATCTCGATTTATAATTTTATCGAACTTTAAATGAGAATTTATTCTCTATTTTATTTGTGAAAAAGGCTAGTTTAATTTTATTGTAAAGGCAGAAAAGAAATTTGTTTATTTTGAAAAGGTCTGACTGAAGAGATCTAACTTGCTGCTTACTGAGCAAAATGAAACACTGAAGATTTCAGGCCAGTCCTTTTGCTCGTAAGCATAAACCGGCGGCTGATTCAATCTTTAATTATTCAGGTTTCACCTGCTCCTGTGTTCTCCCTTTCTTATAAGGGAATTTTCAACTAGTTTTAATTTGGTTTTTTCAAATCAAATATCTTTAAATTATTAGTCCTCTTTGATTAAAACCGCAGCCTTCAGTTTTTCTGATTAAAAAATCATATTACTCTATCTGATGCATCATATTGCATGTGCATCTCTGCTTAATCAAAGCAAGGAGAATTTCAGTGCAGCCGTCAAGACTGCTAAATATTTATTCATTTTGTTTCAAGTTAAAGTTAAAAGGGACGTGTTAATAATCGCCGCCCTTTTAAAATAGTGAGCATGAAAAAATGAGAAAAATTAGACAAGTATTTAAAGAGGAGTGGATTTTCAAAACAAGATTTTATAGTCCTAATAAGAGTAAATCAGTCAATATCTGATTTAGTGAAATAAAGCTTTAATTTAAGTGGCACGCTCCAATTTAGAATTTGGTCGTTAAATAAAATATTGAGACAATGGTCTTTAGTCTGTGTAGTATTTTAAATACTACACAAGCAAGACCATAGTTCTGTCAAAGTACGAGTTCTTTTCTGCTAGTAGTGCATTCGGCAGACTTCTCGGTAATTTTGCTCGAGTAAAGATCGAAGATGTTTTTGACCGAAACACAGGACAAATTGCATCAGAAAAAAAAGCATCTGAATAGTCAAGAAATTATAGCCGAGAAGTGAAGGAGCTCAGAATAATTATTATTTAGACTGAAATGAAACGTACTATTTTTTTTCCAAAATTTGAGCTGTAAAATAAATTCAGATCTTATTGATTAGGTTCAAGCTTGGGCGTATTTTGAACTTCCTGTTCATTGAGTGCAAAATCCTCAGCCGCGCCGAGGTGAAAGACGCGCTAACTCAGAACGATAATCGTCCATAAACACGATATGTTTTGGGTCACAACTCGAAGTGGTCGCGCAAAGTGGTTGCCGCTTCAACTCGCAAAAAAACTCACAGTTTCTTAAAAAAGAAAGACAACCCGCAAAACAAGACAACTCGTAATGCACTTAAAGGAGCATTATATTTTCCTTTAACTTCCCGGGTTGACCTCCATAAACCGAAAATGCTTATCTTACAATTCCCTACACCGAAAGTGCTTATCCTACAATTCCATACATCAAATGTATGGAAAAATGCTAATCATACAATTTTCTTACAATTTCAAAAAACCATTGAAAAAAGATTCGAACTAGTTTCTGCGGCTATTTGAACCAAATAAAACAGTCTGGTGATGAAAAAAAAACTATGTTCATTTTTTGGAAAAAAAAATGGTTATCATACAATTTCCATATATGAAAATTGTATGATAAGCATTTTTTTTCATAAAAGGCAAGATTTTCAGAAACCTGTAAAAACTTGTTTGTAATCAAATTTAATTTAATTAAGAGCATTTTTGCTCAATTTAGAGCACCTTGTCCGTCAAAAACCAAAATTTATTCTGAAGCTAAAAAAATGTTTATCATACAATTTTCATATATGAAAAAATGCGTATCCTAGAGTTTTCTTACAATTTTCTGAATCTTTGAAACTGTAGGAAATTGTAGAATAAGCATTTTTTATATATGAAAACTGTAGGATAAGTATTTTTGGTCAACCCTGGTTAATAGAAAATCAAAAAAGTGTAAAAATTCAAAGCGTCAAAATTTCTTTGACATAATGGGTTTTTACAAAATAAAATTAAATGAAAGAGCATACTGTTTCATTTTTTTTCTACATCCATTCAGCGTATTGTTTAACTGGTTTTATAGAGCTGGTTCAAAGCCTGAACTGTTTCGTAGAGTTCAAATTATATATTCTCCGACCCATGTTTTTTTTTCAAAATAATCGAGAAATGGCTTGAGCTGCTTATTCACACTTGTTGTGGCATACAAAGGAACTCGAGGATGAGAGCCAGCGCATTAAAGAACTTCACTTTCATTCGTAATGTTTTGTATTTTCTCTAATCAATCGCCAGTCCCGATTCTTGAATTGTTTACCAATTGACGCAATTGGCAAGAAACACCATTTTATTGTGAGTTATCGTTTTTTGCGAGTTTTCGTAACTGTTTGTTATTCGAGTTGTCTTTTATTGCGAGTTGTCGTGTTACAACACAAAGTACCGAAGGTCGCGCAATGCTGTCACACAAAGTCGCTTAAAAACAAAACAGCTATTTGCAATTATACCCCTCTAATTGAAGAAAAAAGAAAATATTTAGCTCGATTTTGCTCAAAAAGGCAATAGTTTTTTACTAGTCAGGCCAAAACAAAGCATTTCTATATAGAAATTTTTCAACGTGTGTTTTTTACTACTTTTTGCAGGTTTTTTCAAAAATTTCCCAAAAGTGAGACAAAATGCAAAATTAAATGTCGGTTATTCAGCATTTTTGCAGCCTTCCAAGTTAAAAGAGGCTCTGAATATTAATCTTCCATTTCCTTGTAAGTTCGATTCATTTTTGGGATAAACGTTTTGGTTTTTTTTTTCATTATGTGGGAAGTTATAACTGAAAAACCGTCGCAACATATACTCGCACAAAATTTTTCAAACGAGTTTATTCTTATGTGTATTTCAAAAACTTGAGCGAAAAATCTCCGTTCAAGAAAAACAACCCCCTTCAGAGTGATGTATAAAGTAATCTTGCAATCTTAATTGGAAAAAGTTTGATTGGGCCACAAAGAAATCACATTTCATAGATTGATATGTTTTTGTTTTGGTCAAATATCGCCATACGCAAAAAACATAAAGTTTCAACATCTATTCTAAGTAAAGGGTTTGTTGATTGAGGTTTGTTGAGCTTTGTTGATTGCGCAAAGTGGCAGCATATCTTTAGATTGGTTGCGTAATATGGCTTCATTTTGAGTCGCGACGTACCCATTTTGAGTTTTGGCGGTCGCAACATACCTATTTTTAGTTGCGATGGCCGCGACATAAGTCGCGGACCTCAACTTTGGAGGCAGTTTTTGTCTTAAAAAATCATTCAGTAAATTTTGAATTTGAAATCAAATCATTGATCAAATTTGGTTGACTATTGATCAAACTTTCATGGACAGACTTCAAATAAATCAAAAGTCTATAATCTAAATTAGAAATATTTCTATTCGCAGAGTTATTTTTTTAAATATTAAATCAATAGAAAATGATTGACGGATGAGTAGCAAACTTCATTCAGATACTTTGGACAGTTTTCAATGACCTTTCGATAAGGTTCACTCAACCACATGACCTGAAATAGTATAACAGAATACAAAAAAAATTATAAGAATATGATTAGCGGTGGTGCATTTCTGAGATTAATCCGTTTGATTTTTTCTTTCGTTTTCTGCATAGCATATAATGGCATGTATTTTTTCTAATCACACTTCTAAAGCAGATACGAAAGTTGATTAAGTAATCTTAAAACGATAGGCTGTTTTCAATTTTTTTTTGCTTGATCCTTTCGTTTTAAGTAATTTGACGCTTGTAAATTGAATGAGCTATAAATTAGACTAGAAATTGAAGTACATAAGTTTTCATTAGGAGTAATTGCATTTTTGAGAACTCTCCACCCCTTTTACCGTTCATTTTTTTGAAAAATTTTTACAAAATGATGCTGCTTTATATGTTTTTCATCCTAAGAACAATAAACTCTATCAGTTACCGGGCTGTTTGATTGACCTCTGGAAATTTCAGAACATTTTTTAAAAACCTCAAAATAGACAACAAAACTGACCTTTGAGAGTCTTCAGAAACCGGGAGGTTGACGAAGTGTGAGTTGAACTTGAACTCTTTGATGCAGCCGACAAAAGAATCAAGAGCGTCTTTGATCAAATCCTTTGGCTCGGCTTTCGGGACTCCTAATTTAAACAGTAATCATTAACAATATCTTTTGCCAGTGGTTCGAAACAACAAGCTATCACTTTATGGTGGAACATTGGTGACGTCAAATTGCGACAAAAATGAGAAAGCAGCGCACATGAAGGACTTTATTCAGTTCATTGGTTGGCAGAGAAATAGCTCTTTCTTAGTGCCATAGCCTGTAAATTTTTTTAAATAGAATTTAAAATTTCAAGTCAAACAAGCGGCAACCAAAAAATTTGAGCGTAAAATAAAACATCTAAAATATTAAGAAAAAGTCTTGTAAAGGCGATTGTCTTCATTTCGTTAACATTTTGAGTAGCAGTATTTTGCGATACTTATACCATACCTAAGTAGATAATGGGTTCTGTGTCTAATTGAGTTGACCCACTCGGTCCATAGGTGACCATAGCTGGCTCAGAGTCCACTCGCAACAACACTTGCTCCATGTTCCTAGAATGAAAAAAAAACAGCCCTAAGTGGTGATGAGGGAAATAAGTACTAATGTGGTTGTTTAAAAATTGCCTACATTGAGAAAATGGAAAAACTGTTTGCATTTCCACTTCCTATTTCAAAATCACGGTTTATCTTGGAATAATCGTGAAGAACTGTTCCTTCTTGTAGCGTATCATATGTAACGAGCTATCTTAAAATCTATAAAAAAAACT